TCATACAATGGAGTGTTCGAGTCTACCACCAGTTGCTCCAGCTTAGCCTCCTCTCTAGGAGCAGCTCTCTCAGTACTCGTCTCCTTGCAAAGCAATGCTTGAACATGAGGGTCCCACACGATTGAACTTAGTACCGACGAACTCTGCTGCGTGGAGTCCATGTCATTCTATCCGCCGCCATGTCCGGCCCCTTCTCTGCCGCCATGTCCGGCCTCTTCCCGCCGCCATTATCGATCATCTCTTCGTCTTGCCCCGTGTCATCATTGCCTGCCCCGTCGGCATCCTCAACATCGTCATCCTCATCTTCAATTATCCATCGAGTATAGCCATCCATGAAACCAGTCATGAACAGGTGCGCTTCGACACGACCATCGTCATGGGGGTCAAGCCAAACTATTCCTTTGCATTTTCGACACGGACATAAAACCTCTGTCAGGTTAATTTCCTTCATGTCCTGCACCGCTGACCGCAACCACCTGTCCACCATCGTTCCACTGACCATCGTCAACTTTGCACGGTAATAATAAACAAATTGATTATAAAAATGCGTGCATTCATCAAAGTCATACAAAAATTCGGCATGACCTTCCTTAAAAATAGAACATATATAGATCTAGAGTTTGCCCGAAATTCGCCGAAACGGAAATAAATCGACATTTCGGCAAAACATAGGAAACTCAAAAGCACAATTTGGCGTCAACTCATGCCACACACAAAATTTCCATAAAGATATCACACACACATAAACATATTTCCATTTTGCAAAAGCATAAAATTTTAATCACCTCTATCTCGAGATTGAGCACACGGTGGAGATGATGTTGTAGGGAGATCGAAAGTGCACAAAGCTCTTCTTGACAAAGATAGATCTAGTTAGGGGCAAATAGGTCACTTAACTAAATGCTACATCTACCTAGCTACCTAATTTGGGAGGAGACAACTTCAACTAGTGGAGGGGAAGGAAAAAGAGAAAGGAGATGCATTAATGGAGGTGGTGTAGTTATAGCTAGAAGTAATGAAGAGAGAGAAAGGTAGGTAGAAGAGGGAGAGTAATGGGGGGAGAAGTATTGAGGAAGAAGAAGAGTGAGAGAGGGAGGATGTGGGAGGTAGGGGAAAGGGAGGAGAGGAGATGGGGAGGAGGAGGTGGAAAAAGGTGGTGGGTGCTGCGTCTTAGCAGTAGCGCGGGAGCAAAAGTGCGCTGCTGCTAAGAGCGTAGCAGCAGCGCGCTTTCCTATCACGCGCTACTGCTAAACAGGCCAACCGTGTGGACAATTTCAAAATTAGCAGCAACGACGTGACTAAAAAGACCGCTACTACATTAGCAGCAGCGCGCTTCCTGACGCCGCGCTACTGGTAAACTTAGGTCGTTGTGTACTGTCGGTGGATTTTTGTAGCAGCGCAGTTTAAACATCACGCGCTACTGCTAAATTTGCACCAGTAGCGCGCTTTTCGTAACTGCGCTGCTACTAATTAGCAGCAGCGCCTCTTTTTATGCCGCGCTGCTGCTAAGATTCTGTGTATAAGGTTTTCCCTAGTAGTGTAACCACCGGTGACCAGCCCCGCTACTCCCTCCATCTCCTTCCTCTCTCCCTCGGTTTTATTTTCTCTCTCTCTCTCTCTCTCTCTCTCTCCCTCTGGTTTGACTCACAATCCCATGTCCATGCCTGTGCAGGTAGTCACCATGGACGACCATATCTGGCATGGTCGGGAAGAGGAGCCCCACGCCCGCTGCCTTGCTCTTCCATGGAAACAGGCCCTCCTCCAACAACCACCGTCGGATCTGGTCTGCCGTTGCTCGTTCATGCCTTCGGCGATCCCAACCATCGCTGGATCGAACAACTGCTGCCACTGACAACACGCACGGGATCGAGATATTTTTTTTGCTTTTGAAAGTAATAGTAGTAGCGCGGGGTATAAGACCCGCTACAGATAATTAGCAGTAGCGTTGTACTGCAACGCACACTACAACTAACCATGTATAGCAGTAGCGCGTGTCAACACGCGCTACTGCTACAAGTTAGCTGTGGCGCCGTATCAGTAGCGCGGGCGCCCGTGCTACCGATACACCGAAAACCCGCGCTACTGCTAGGCTTTTCCCTAGTAGTGACAGCCTCCATACTCATATGAAGCGCCCTCCAAATGAGACATGGGGGGAGACTTGTGTGAGATCTCACATTAGGTGAGATCAATGTGCTCGGGTTTTTTTATAAATCTACATGTTCAAACATTCTCAAAAAAATTGTAGACACACATCAATGGTTGATGTTCAACCTCAAAAAGTTTTAGCTCCTAATTCAACTTACATTAATAGAAACAAAAAAGACAAAACTGGACGTGAATAGCGTCAAAGTACTATTCACCCAAAGCTGCCATTCATATCTGAATTTTTCTTTTTTGAATCTCTAAATGTACATCGAGTTTTGAGCTGATTTTTTTAGTTGTAGACATACCTCACATGGATGTTGTCAAATAATTTCAGATTTTCCGGAATGTCTGAGTACAAATTTTTGGGATTGATCTCACGATCTCACCTAATGTGAGATCTCATATAAGTCTTGAGACTTGTGTGAGATCTCACATTAGGTGATATCAATGTGATCAATTTTTTTAAAACAAATCTGCATCTTCAAACATTCTCAAAAAAATTGTAGACACACATCAACGGTTGATGTTCAACCTCAAAAACTTTTAGCTCCTAATTCAACTTACATTAATAGAAACAAAAAAGACAAAACTGGACGTGAATAGCGTCAAAGTACTATTCACCCAAAGCTGTCACTATTCACATTTGAATTTGTCAATCTCTAAATAAACATCGTGTTTTGAGCTGATTTTTTTTGAGTTGTAGACATACCTCACATTGATGTTGTCAAATAATTTCAGATTTTTCCAAAATGTCTAAATATGAGTTTTTTAGATTGATCTCATGATCTCACCTAATGTGAGATCTCATACAAGTCTTGAGACTTGTGTGATATCTCACATTAGGTGAGATCAATGTGATCGATTTTCTTAAAAAATCCTAGATGTTCAAACATTCTCAAAAAGTTTGTAGACACACATCAACGGTTGATGTTCAACCTCAAAAAGTTTTAGCTCCTCATTCAACTTACATTAATCGAAACAAAAAAGAGAAAACTAGTCGTCAATAGCGTCAAAGTACTATTCACCCAAAGCTGCCACTATTCACATCTGAATTTGTCTTTTTTGAATCTCTAAATATACATCAAGTTTTGAGCTGAATTTTTTTGGAGTTGTAGACTTACCTCACATGGATGTTGTCAAATAATTTCAGATTTTTCCGGAATGTCTAAGTATGAATTTTTGGGATTGATCTCACGATCTCACCTAATGTGAGATCTCATATAAGTCTTGAGACTTGTGTGAGATCTCACATTAGGTGAGATCAATGTGATCAATTTTTTTAAAAAAATCTACATCTTCAAACATTCTCAAAAAAAAAAAAATTAGACACACATCAACGGTTTGATGTTCAACCTCAAAAACTTTTAGCTCCTAATTCAACTTACATTAATAGAAACAAAAAAGACAAAACTGGACGTGAATAGCGTCAAAATACTATTCATCCAAAGCTGCCACTATTCACATCTGAATTTGTCTTTTCTGAATCTCTAAATATACATCGAGTTTTGAGCTCATTTTTTTTGGATTTGTAGACATACCTCACATTGATGTTGTAAAATAATTTCAGATTTTTCCGAAATGTCTAAATATGAATTTTTGAGATTGATCTCATGATCACACCTAATGTGGGATCTCACACAAGTCTTGAGACTTGTGTGAGATCTCACATTAGGTGAGATCAATGCGATCGATTTTTTTAAAAAAAATCTAGATGTTCAAACATTCTCAAAAAAAATTGTAGACACACATCAATGGTTGATGTTCAACCTCAAAAATTTTAGCTCCTAATTCTACTTACATTAATAGAAACAAAAAAAAGAGAAAACTAGACGTGAATAGCGTCAAAGTACTATTCACCCAAAGCTGCCACTATTCACATCTGAATTTGCCTTTTTTGAATTTCTAAATATGCATCGAGTTTTGAGCTGAATTTTTTTGGAGTTGTAGACATACCTCACATGGGTGTTGTCAAATAATTTCAGATTTTTCCAAAATGTCTAAATATGAATTTTTTGGATTGATCCCAGGATCTTACCTAATGTGAGATCTCATACAAGTCTTCCCCTGTGACATGGAGCCTGTCAATACGACAACTCTACTTAAGTTGCTCTTAATATCTCCATCCCGGGCAACAATTTTCCTGCAGGGATCAATGTTACCAAGGACATTAACCTGTTTAAAGAAAAACATGAACTTGGGGACAGAACGTCAAAACTAGGGCCGGGTGAGCAGGAGATCTACCCCATTCTAATTCTAGGGCCATTGTGCCTCTCACCACTCACCAGCTCTCTGTAGACTGGGGCAGCTTTGTCGCCTTTACAAGCAGTCTCATCCGCTTACCTTTCAGTTTTCAAGAACATAGAAAATCAATATTCAATTTTTTTTCTCCGACATAGCATTTGCGGATCTCAATGTAACATTGTGCCACTGGGTGGACAGGATGGTATTTTGCCTTCTCTCCTAAAACGAACCAAACGATTCAGCCCAGTGCTTTTGTTGTCATCAGTGCTGTCTATACTCTATACATGCTGCGGTAATGGATTAAGCCAACTAACCAACATGCATGCCTCACCTTTGTTCTTAAAACGTGATCTTGTGCATGGAGTAGTGGATGATGGAGCCAACTGCCACTCTTTTAAATGCAGCATGCGCTCTGCATGGATATTTCCTAGTACTACATCGTACTAAAAATCCACCAAAGGCAAAAGCAACAACCTTTGTCCCAACAACTGGTGCCTAACTTACTGTTATTCACATTTCACAGCCACAGAGATCACTACCCACCCTCGTCACAGACTATAACAGAACACATCAGAGGAGAAGCTAGAACGCACAGGAGATTGTCCCAGCGATCAATGGAGGCTAGCGGAGTTAATTGCACAGAAGTACCACAATTCAGGCATCACATGCAGATTGGTACCACGATTGCTAATTTTTGCGTGTCAGTACCAACATTGGTCCAAATTTTTGCAAATTGGACTAAAACGCGTATTTATACGTATTGACGCCCGATCCGACAGGTCGGGCCCACCCGTCAGGTGCCACGCTGGCCAATCGGCGCGTGCCCGCGTGCTGACTAGGACGAGCCGGTGCGCTGCTGTCCTAACCGGCCCGGTCGCACCAGCTCCAGCCCGGCCGCACCATTCCCCTCCCCTCCTCCTCCTCGCTCGTTTCCTGCATCGCCGCCGACCGCGTCCCGACAGCCGGCCGGCCGCCGCACCGCCCCGCCGTCGCCATGGTTTTGGAGGACGAAAGCAGCGACGACCATTCTAGCCCCCCGTACATGCATTCTTCCTCCACAGACGGTCTCAACGAGGTCAGTACAGGGTTAGGGTTAGGGTTTCATATTTGGGATTTCTTGATTTGGTTGATTTCGCTAGGTTTTGATTTGGCCATTGTCTTTGTGCGAGCTTCTGCAGGTTCCTTTCACCATTGAAGATCCAGATTACAAGGGGCTTGAGTTGGATGTGATGTCTCCATGTGAGAAGCACGGCATGGCATCTGAGAGGCTTGTTGCCTTTGAAGGAACAGACACAGGCAGGAGGTTTTTAGCATGTGCACAGCCGGTATGTATTGTAGGATTGTAGGCATACTGATTTTTTTTCTTACTTGGTCAGTGCCATATTGAACTCTGTTTGCTGGAGTACTCTGCTTGGTGTCAACATTTTGATTCATAGTGGTTAGAGTAGCTTATTTAGGTCAAGCATGAGTATATTTTGCATTAGAACAATGGCTGAACCTAGTCAGTCAGCTACTCAAGTGGTTGCTCCTCTTGTTAAATTTAGTGGTCTGATGCTAAATTTAGACATTCTTTTTGGCAACTGCAGTGATTTTGTGTAATTACTTGCTGTATGAACTGTTTTGTTGTTGTTATTGTTTTTGCAGGAAGGTAGCAATTGTGGCTTTGTTGAATGGGTTGATCACCAGTGGCCCCCAACAATGCAGAATGCATTGTTAAAGCTATGGGCAATGGTTGAAGATGTCAAAAGTGCTAGGGTGAATGACAATCTTGAGAATTCTTTCACTATCCACCATCTGACAGAAGAGAAGAACAAGCTGGAGGCCAACTATGACAAGCTAGTCCAAGATGTGCATGAGCTGATGAACTTCCAGGAAGATAAGGTGGTGGATTTCAGGCATCTGCAGTCTGCCATTACATATCAGCAGGAGGTAAGAAAAGAACTGACTGATGATATGAAGGCAAAGATGGCAAAGAAAGATGCAGAGACCCAGCAACTTACTCAGAAGTATGAGGTGCTGCTCAACCTGACAAGAGCTCAAGCAACAGTCATTCAGAACTTGAAGTTGAACAAAATGAAAGAGAAGCAAGTGCTTACTGAAGCTAGTATGAATTTGGAGCTGAAGAATGCAGAGCTAACTAAGTGTCAGGAGAAGCTCACCCAAGAGAAGCTAGAGTTGAAGCTTCAGGTTGCTGATCTGCTTAAGAGAAATAAAAAGCATATTGAAGAGAAGTGGCAGTTAGAGTTTCAGAATGAAAAGTTGAAGGAGAAGTTCAGGGGGATTCAAGCCATCTTGGAGAAGTGAAGAAGATGAAATGAGATTAGTGGCATTGCTGACATTTTGGGAATGATGGTTGTGTAATGACCTAGCATCTAGGAACTAATGTTGTGTACTGTATGCTTGTACTAATGGTGAACTATGGATGTGTATGTATGTAGTAGTTATGCTATTCATCCTTTTGTGAGAAAAGGATGAACTATGCATTTGAAGTGGAACTCCTCTATGTATTGTGAACAATGGTTATGTATTGCTATGTATGGATCAGTTTCTTATTATGTATGGTTATGCTGATTATGTAGATTGTACATTATCACTAAATCTCATTGCATCAGAAGATAACTTCACTGATCCATTACAACTTGATCCATTACAACTTGGCTACAACTGAAGCAACTAACTAACTTAATATCTTGCCTGTCACACTTTAATAGTAGGAAAGGTGGATGGCCCACATGTCAGAATCCCCAAATGTGGTACTGCATGTTATGTGATGCCCCAATATTGGTACTGACATGCAACAGCTAGCAGCAGAATTGGTACTGATTTGTCACAATTATCTGCAAATGTGGTACTGATTTGTCACAATCAACTCACATTACCAGCATCCAGTAGCAAGTTCAGATAACCAACTAAAGTTCAACATTCAGATAATCACCTAAAGTTCAACCATATATCCATCCAGTTCAACATTACAAGCATCAAGTTCAACATTACTAGAGTACTCCACCAGTACTCCACCTCAAGTATCAAGTTTAACCAAAATAACACCACAATATTTCACATTACATGGCTCCTCCACCTCCCATGCTAGCATTAAAGTAGGACATCCATCCAGTGTGTGTGCCATCGGTAGGAATGTCAGCATATTGCCTTGGGGCAATGAATGGCATTGGAGCACCTCTTCCAGCTCTTCCTCTGCCTCTTCCAGCTCTTCCAGATGGTGGTGGTGTAGTAGAAGTAGCAGCTCCTCTTCCTCTGCCAGCTCCTCTTCCTCTGCCAGATGGTGGTGTTGTAGTAGAAGTAGCACCAGCTCCTCTGCCAGCTCCTCTGCCAGCTCCTCTTCTTCCAGATGATGGTGGTGTAGGAGCAGAAGCAGCAGGTCTTGGTTGTCTTCCAGATGATGGTGGTGTAGGAGCATTAGCCTTGCAAAGAAAAGGAAACAGTTAATAATGCTAGAAAGAAATGTACAAGAAAGAAAACATTAGTATATTTGAAGGTGAAAAAGTATTACCACATGCTTATTCTTCCTCAAAGCTAGCTCAGGCTTCAACTGTTTAAGACAGTTTGTGTACCTATGCCCTTGGAGACCACAATTGCCACATGTTATGGTCCCCATTCTTGAAGTTTCTTTTGGCTTTGGTACTTCAAATTTGCCCTTGATCCTCTTTTCTTTCCTTCTTCCTCTCTTGATTTTGAATGCAGGTGGTTCTATGTCTGGACCAGGGGTCCTTGTCCAATCATGCTCACCAGGCACAGGAAAGATCATTGGTTCATAAGCTGCAGCATAAAAATCTTTCTTGAAGAATTTGCTGACATAATCCTCTGGTTTCCTTTTAGCCTTGTTTATTGCAGAGATGGCATGGTTGCAAGGTATGCCACTAAGGTCCCACTTCCTGCATCCACAAGTCTCAAGTTCCAGGTTGACAGCATGTGTTTGCTGCCCACTTGTAACTTGCCATAAGTTGACCCCTGCCTGTATTGGCTTGCAGTATCTGGCCCTCTCCTTCTCAATCTCTAGCTTCTCACTGTAATGAGGTGTTATCTCCCATCTTGCTTCCTTTACACTCTCTCTCTTCATGTGCCACCTCACCATCTGCTTATCTTTTATCCCATCACACATTATCCTTATAGGTTTTCTCCTAACATCTAGAATGTACTTGTTGAACACCTCTGACAAGTTGTTCACTACCAAGTCAATCTTGCAATTTGTGTCAAATGCATGCCTTGCCCATGTTTTTTTTTGGTATTGCAGTAAGCCACTCCCAAGCTTCCTCACTTTCAGCTCTAAGATCATTCATTGCAATATTAAATTTGTGTTCATTGTAGGCATAGCTAGCATTATCCATGCACTTCTTAAGATCTTCACCCCTAAACCCAGCATTTTGGAAATTTGCATATAAATGTCTAAGGCAGAATCTTTGGTTGCAACTTGGAAACACAGCATTCACTGCATTCAATAACCCCTGACACAAACAATTTAACAAGTCTAAGCTACAAACAATTTGAAAATCTAAGCTAATGCAAACACTTGTTCAAAACAGAATGAAATATGCAAACACATACCTTTTGTCTATCTGACATTATAGTATAAGTTCCAAACTTGCCCACTTCTCCCCCTAGGCAAATTTTCAGTTGGTGTAGAAACCAACACCAACTAAGTGTGTCCTCTTGACCAACTATGCCAAATGCCAGTGGATATATGTTGTTGTTGCCATCTCTACCAGTGGCAGCAAGTAGTTGAGCACCTGTAGTGAGCTTAATGAAGCATCCATCAACACCTGCATAATCAACATTTCCAAGTGAGATACAATATGGAGTACTCTACAATATGTAAATGGTTCACACAAGGTTCAAGAACTAACCAATGAAAGGCCTACACCCATTGAGAAACCCCTCCCTTGCTCCATTAAGGCAAAAAACATGGCATGGAATCTTGGGCCTGGGTGGGGTATTTTTGCATTAGGTACTGGAGTAACAGTAGTGACTATTACTCTACTCCCAGGGTTTTTGTCCATGACAGTCTGAGCATAGTCTTTAAGCCTAGGATATTGCTTCCTGTGATCTCCTAACACAACATCAATAGCTATGTTCTTTGCCCTATATGCCATGCACTTGGGCACATCTACACCATATTTTTCATTGCATGCATCAATTATAGTCTGAATACCAGTAGTTATATCAGATCTAAAGAGATGCTCATATTTCTGTGCTAGCCACTTAGCACTAACCCTGGTGGTCTCAGTGGTACTAGGGCAAGTGTGCTCTAGTCTCATCTTCTTAATTACAAATGTTTTCTCCCCTTTTATAACTGCTGCCACCATTAAGAACTGGCATTTTTTATCTGTACACTCAACAATTATCCTCTGATACCTAAAATTCCTGGCCTGGGTGATGTGCAAATTCAACAAAGCTTCTCTGAATTGATGCTGATCCCTAAAACACAACTTCATACACAGTTGCTCATGTGGTTGCTCCATTTTCTCATTGTACCACTTCCTAGGAGGCCTTTTCTTTGCCCTACTCTTCCTTTTCTTTTGTAGGACAAAAGAGAGTGGCTGAAAACCATCATCATCACTCTCCCTCAACAATCCCTCCTCTTCTTCATCTGATGATGGTCTGAAATCAGGTTCAACCTCTGGTAGCTCACTACAATGTGACCTAGTGGTTGGGCCTCTTCTAACTGGAAGCTTCTGCTTCTTCTTTACAGGTTCAACTATAGTTTCTTCTTCTTGTTCAAAAGTCCTATCTTCCTCTACCTCAAATGGGTCCTCAACTTCAGTGTCACCCTCATAATGCAGCATTTCTTCCTCTTCTGATTGATCATCATCTGATTCTTCCTCTTGTACTTCTAGCTCTCTCTGCCTCTTTCCCTCTTCCACCTCTACATCTTCTTCATCAACCATGTAATTAGGGTAACTTCCAATTTGACCATCCTCATCAGAGGAATCACTGTCCTCATAAGCCTCAAATCCTTGATATCCCTCTTCTTCTTCTTCCAAAATTGCTTTCAACTTGTTAGTTGCATTTCTGCTTTCTTGTGTGCAAACACCAGCAGGAGCAACAGGGTGATGTGTGCTACATTGACTCTCAAAGACTACTCCTTCCTGATCAACAGCTAAGATAGGAGGCTCACTCAGATCATAAACAACAGGCTCTTGGTACACCACAGTGGACAAGTCTGGCTTTTCAAAATGCTGCCTCTCAAAATCAGTATCAGGGGGTGGACAAGCCCTGACTAGCAAATTAAGCACCAATTTTTCCTGGATCTTCCTCTTTATCATCTGTAATTCTGCATGACTGTCTACCAAATCCAGCCCTTTCTCTCCTAAAGATGGATTTTCAATGTGAAACAAACAATCATATGCATTAAATCCTTGGGTTTCCATCACTGCAACCAAATTCAGATAAGTAATATCTGAACCACACAGCTTCATCTCCAATGGTTCTCTTGCATCAAAATGGATCCTTACTTGCCAAATGTCTTCATCCAAACTACAGAAAAAATTAAATTTCATTTATTCATTATAATTACTCTTAATTTGGAGAGCAACAGTACAGTACATTACAATTTAAAGTAACCTGTAAGTCTATTATTTACTAATTTAGCACAAAAGCAAATTTTGGAGAGCAACAGTAAAGTACAAAACAGCTTAAATTACAGTACCAGACAGTACAGAACAATTTGGAGAGCCACAGTAATTGAACTAAATTGAGAGTGCAATACACTATGTTACTAGGTTAGTCTAGTCACTTCAATTGGATAAAACCTAATCCCCAACTAGATAAAGCAAAAGATGAACAAACCCTAAAAATGCCCAATTGGATGAATCAGAGGAGTAGGACAAGGGTACTTACAGCACGCCGCCAAGTCCATGCGTCAACTCATGGCTGCTGCTAGGGTTCGCCACCCACTGATGCGCCAACCGCAACCGCTGCTCCATGGTGAGTAACATCGACTCCTCGTCGTCGGTCGAGTACGCGGAGCTGGACTCGTCGCCGCCATCCCCGTCGACGCCAACCGTTCCGCTAGGAGGCCAGAACGGCATCTCTCCGACGCCGTGGACGCCCTCGCCGCCGTCGTGGACGCCCTCGCCGCCGACTGGCGGAATCGCCGACGCCATGGACTAGGGTTCGAGCGAGGAGGAGGAGGGGGAGGGGAATGGTGCGGCCGGGCTGGAGCTGGTGCGACCGGACCGGTTAGGACAGCAGCGCACCGGCTCGTCCTAGTCAGCACGCGGGCACGCGCCGATTGGCCAGCGTGGCACCTGACGGGTGGGCCCGACCTGTCGGATCGGGCGTCAATACGTATAAATACGCGTTTTAGTCCAATTTGCAAAAATTTGGACCAATGTTGGTACTGACACGCAAAAATTAGCAATCGTGGTACCAATCTGCATGTGATGCCTGAATTGTGGTACTTCTGTGCAATTAACTCAGGCTAGCGCCAAGAAGGTCATGCTGAGGGACGAGATCACGGATGCCACCGCGGCCGCATTCGCCGGCTCCACCGTCATCCCCGACAGGTACGTTTGGCCCGACGAGACCGCCGGGTGGGGCAACACTGTCGTCGGAGACGAAGAGAGCCTCAAGCTTATCCCCGTCCTAGACATGGCCAGCCTGCTGGATGGGTCACCAGAGGAGATCGCCAAGCTTGGCGCTGCATGCCGGGACTGGGGTTTCTTCCAGGTCAGTAGCTAATTAATCCATCAATTTCTTGTGCATTTTTTCCCAAACCATGTTGGAGAGCTTCATGTAAATCATCATTAAGGAAAAAAGAGTACAACGTCCAAGATCGGCACTAACCATTACATCGTCAAAATGTCTTAGTTGCAATTGTTTAGTTCATCGACAAATTGTTTTTCTTTTAACCGTTCATCGACAAATAGTTAATCCTGATAATTATGCAGCTAAGAAACCATGGCGTCGACGAGACGGTTGTGGAGCGTGTGAAGGATAGCACCCGAGAGTTCTTCAGGTTGCCTCTAGAGAAGAAGAAAGCAGTGGGGATCGTCAAGGCGGAAGATGGCTTCCAAGGGTTTGGTCACCACTTCAACACGTCCATGGGTAAACTGGACTGGGCAGAGAGTCTGCTCCTCGGAACGCAGCCAATGGGACACAGAAACATGGACCTGTGGCCTACTGAGCTGCCAACATTTAGGTGAGTACATATATAAACATAAGAAACATGGGACACAGAAACATGGACCTGTGGCCTACTGAGCTGCCAACGTTTTTGTGTGTCCGTCTATGTCATATCTCTCCGTATCAAAATATAAGATGCTCTAGTTGTTCCTAAAAAAATGATTTGCTGTAACAGGGATGGAGTTGAGAAGTACTCCCTAGAGATGACCAAGTTGAAAAGCCTTCTCATGGCGTCCATGGCCATTGACCTTGGGATCAAACCAGAGACGCTCCTCGACACGGTCCAGGGTAAGATCCAGAACATCGTGTTCCACCACTACCCTCCGTGCCGGCACAACGCCGATAAGGTGATCGGCATCCCACCGCACACGGACGGCCTCTTTTTGACGATAGTCCTGGAGGTGGACGCCACGCCTGGCTTACAGGTTAGCAATGGCGGCAGGTGGTTCCCTGTGCGGCCATTGCCGGGGTCCCTAACCGTCTTCGTCGGTGACATCCTCGAGGTCCTCACCAACGGCAGGTACAAGAGTGTCGAACACAGGGTGCTCGTCGATGCCGAGAGAGACCGAACCACCATCGCCACATTCCAAGATGCATGCGTCGCCGGGATGGTGAAACCGCTCCCCAAGCTTGCGGAGGTGGCACGGTACATTTCTATTGAGAAACACGACTACGTGCATCGCCAGTTTCAGGCACTGACTGAAAGGGCAAACATTGTCGATAGCCTCAAGATATAGCCGCAAGCTCTCCATTGCCTATGAGAGGCTATGTGAAATTCATGCCGGGCCAAAGAGCCACGAACGAAGACAAGGTTGCAAATGTATGCGTCTATTTTGCTTGCATGTTTAGTTCTTCTGATTTCAGTTGTGTACCGAAGATTGTTGTTTGTGCATGTTTGTACTGTTGATTTCTATTTTTCGTTCTTTCCTTTTGTAATAATCTAGCCGTGTACATCGACATCTCTCGATGTCGTGTCCTTGTTCAGGCCAGGCGTATTCTGTACCATCTTCGAAGCAATATATTGCAGGGACTATTTCAAACACACAAAAAAGATGAGTACAAGGTTACACAAGGAAGTATATTTGTCGAAAATGCAATTCAGTTTGAAGTCAAAATAGTTTTTTAGGGTAGTCAAACTAGTTGTAGAATCCCAATTTCGACAAGCACTAATTTAGGGGAGGTCACTGGCCTGGTGACAAACTTGGAGAAGAGCATCGTCGCGCCTATTCGGTGTTATGGTATCAACCTCGACGGCGTGCTTGAGAGCTTCCCGGCCAAGCGCTCGGCCTTCCCCATGCGCTACCTTGGCCTTCTGCTGTCGGTTTACCGACTCAGGAAGATTGACCTACAACACCTAATGGACAAGGCCGCAGGAAAGCTTGTGCCTTGGCAAGGCCGATTTATTATGGCTATTGGGCGCACGGAGCTGGTTAAATCTGTCCTCGTGTCCCAGGCAACCTTTCATGCTACTGTAATTAAGCTATCGGAGAGCACAATCGGCGCCCTCAAGAAGATTCAGAGGGCTTTTCTATGGGCGAGATTTGATAAAGTCTTCGGTGGGCAATGCAAGGTCAGTTGGAGGCTGGTATGCAGACCAAAGGGGCTTGGTGGCCTGGGTGTCCTTGACCTGAATATGTTTGCTCGTGCTCTCCGATTGAGGTGGCTCTGGTACGAGTGGAAAGAGCCAGATAGGGCCTGGGTGGGCATGGGAAACCCATGCGACTCGACGGACAGAGAGCTTTTTTATGCTGCCTCAACTATCACTATGGGGGATGGCCGGAAGGCGAAGTTTTGGCACTCCCCTTGGCTGGAGGGAAGGAAGAAGCCCAAAGATATAGCTCCATCCATTTTTTGCGATCTCTGCAAACAAGAACAAGTCGGTTAGGGATGTCCTTCAGGGCCGTAATTGGATCCCATGGATCAATATGTCTGACGGACTGGAGGTGCGGCATATTGAGCAATTTTGCGCACTTTGGGAGATGATTCGGCACATACAGCGGCATGATGACATGGCTGATGACATAGTTTGGAACCTCACGACCAATGGAGTTTACACTTCGTCATCGGCCTACAAGGTCCAATTCGAGGGGACTATGGCCTCCAACATGACACGGGTCGTCTGGGGCAATTGGGGGCCTCCCAAGTGCAAATTCTTTGCGTGGCTTGTCATCATGAATCGGGTTTGGACGACGGATCGGCTTCAGAGGAGAGGATGGCCAAATTATAACTTATGTCAACTCTGTAAGAGGGAGCCTGACACGGCGGCGCACTTCCTCTTGCATTGCAGGTTCTCCACACGCATTTGGAATGCGATTAAGTGTTGGCTCGACATTCCGGAGTTGGATGTTGCCGCCTGGGCTGGGATCCCCATGGTCAAGCAATGGTGGGAGAAGGCCGTCCTTGGATGAGGTCACAGGAGGAAGGTCGTGTCCTCTCTTCTAATGCTTGTATCATGGGACCTGTGGAACGAGAGGAATGCGAGGGTGTTCCAAAAGAAAGCCACGATGCCGACCGTTGTGGTCAATAGTATCAAGGCGGAGTCTAGAAATTGGGTTCTGGCCGGGGCAAAACACATGGGATACTTGATGCCGCGAGAGTAGGCTTTTGTTTTCATTTGTCGAGGAGTAATGACCCTCTTGAGACCTTGTTACCCCTCTTCTTTATTAATGAGATGAGGCAAAGCTTTTGCCTTTGTTTCAAAAAAAGGACTCTCCGCCGCGGGCAGCTCGTCCGGGCCTGCAAGGCCTATATGTCACCCGTACCCATTCCAAATATGAATAGCCTAAGAACGATGACTAGCGGGTCGGCCAGTCGCGCGGATTTGTTGCGAGATGTAGATTTGTTCAGGTCCTGTTTTCTATGGTTTTTTTTTCTTGTGTTGTGTTTTTCTTTGGTTTTTCACCAGTTTTCTGTTGTTTTTATTTTGTTTCCCTTTCCTTTGGTTTTATCTGCTTTCCCATTGGGTTTTTTTGCTTTTTAATTATTTCTTTGTTATAATTTGCTTTTATTTTATTTATTTTTTGATTTTTTTTCTATTTTTTCGCGTTTCTATCTCTTTGTGGGTTTTCACCAGTTTTAGTTTTCAAACGCATGTCTACTTTTTTACCAGTAACAATGTAAATATCTAGAGCACACGTGAAGCATAACATGTTGGTCATTTTTCAAATACCTGATTTATATTTTTCAAAATACATGTTTTGAATACATGCAAAAAATTCCAAATACATGTTTTACTTCTTTTGATGGAAATAAACTATTTTTAACTACGTAAACACTTTTTTGCATTGTATAAATATTTTCCAAAATTTTACAGACATGTTTTAATGGTAATGAACATTGTTTACATTATGCAAACAAGTTTTTACATTGTACAAACATTTTATTAAAGTTTGTATGCATTTTTTGAAACACAAGAATATTTTTTATATTTGAATCAACATTTTGTTGAAAGTTATAAATTTTTTCCTAAAATTTTAATAAAAAAATAATTTATACTAGGTTAACATTTTTCTTCAAATACATGTTATGATTACTAGTTTTTTTATATACATTTTTAAAAAAAATCGTCTACATCAGCAACAATTTTATTTACACCATTCACAATTTATACATGGTTGACATTTTTTAAATGTGCGACGAACAATTTCAAAACTAAAAGGAAAATAAGAAATTAAAAAAAGGTGTGATGTCAGCGCTACTGGGGCAGGCCACGAATCGGAGGCCTTCAGGCGAGGAAAGCTACTGCCTCCCAATCTCTTATTTTGCCACGCATATATCTCGCCTAAAGCGAGATGCAGCCTGTAATCGTCGTCTCGCTACCCCGTTATTGTAGCTCCTTTTTTCACTGCGTTGCAGTGTTTTGCTTTAGCTTTCTGTTTATACCAGTTCTTTTTCATTTTTCATTTTTCCCTGGTTTCTTCCTTTTCTTTATTTCTTGGTTTTTCGTATTTTAATTTTTTGTTTTTCTATGATTTTTCCCTTGACTTTTTTGTTTTTATTTGCTTTTTTTGTTCTCATTAGACTTTTTCAATTTTCACCTGGTTCTAATATTTTGCATCAGTTTCTTCCGTTCTCTTCATTGCTTAGGGTTTCTCTTTTTTCCCCTTTTTTCTTTGATTTTCCTTGTTTCATTTTCAGTTTTCATTGGGGTTCTTTCAGCAAATGTTTATTTTTTCAAACACAATGTATATTTTTGTATACACACTCGAGACCTTTTTCATAAATGTTTAACATTTTTAAAATGCATGATTAACTATATTTAAAATATATGTTTCTATGTCTACTGTTTTCTCATACACGTACATTTTTCGTATACATCTGAAACACTTATTTTTTATATGTTTCGCTTTTCTTAAAACACGTGATTTACATTTTGCAAATATATTTTTGACGTCTGCTTTTTCTATATAGATTGTACATATTTTGTATACATAATTAACATATAATTTATATATGTTTAAGATTTTTTAACTACGTGATGAACAAATTTACATATGTTTTGATGTCAAATATTTTACATAGACGGAAATATATTTTTATACACGTTCAACATTTTTTATACATAATTAACATTTTTTAATTATTTTCTTATGTCTACATTTTCCCATACACCATGTACATTTTTTTGTATACATCAAGGAAAAAATCATACATGTTCAATAATTTTTTTCATATATATTTTGAATTCTACTTTTTTATACACATTGTACACTTTTCTTATACATTAGAAACATTTTTCTATCCAGGTTTAACATTCTTCAAATGCATGACTATTATGTATTTAAAATTTCATGCAAAGTAATTTTTATAATATACTTCCTCTGTCCCGAATTACTTATCGTGGAAATGGATAAAAATGGATGTATCTTGAACTAAAATACATCTAGAGACATCCATTCATGCGACAAGTAATTCGGGACAGAGGGAGTATATGCTTAGGATTTTTCGAAATATAACACAAGTAAAAAAAAGCAAAGAAAAAAAATAAAATGCAAAATAAACAAGTGCTTAAGGCTTATGGACCCTAGCGCGCTGAGCTAGCCCATTATTGCCCGCTTCAGGCAAGAGCTTGTTTAGCCTCGCTATAAGCGACACATAGCCACGCCCCTCCTATTTGGTGCACTAGGCGTTGACAAACAAGCCAGCGCGCACCCCCCCCTCCTCCCACGCCCTTTTGGGTCCGTCCGTGTGCGGGGAGCCCTATTTTTTCATTTCATTTTTTCTCTTTTTCTCTTTGAGTAATTTGGGATTTCGAAGAAGTTTCAAATTTATTTTTAAAATCTGAAAGGATTGTTTAAAAAATGTAAAAGGATTGTTTAAAAAATGTGAAAGGATTGTGAAGATAAGAGGGGAAAAAAAGCTTGCAAGGGCTCACCTTGCACAAGTGGGGGTGAGGCACGGGACAAAGAAGGGGGAATGGCCCCATGTGACTCACTAGAAACTTGAGTTGTGCTCTGTTTGAGAACTATGTCAAGAACTTGTGAACTATATCGAGAACTTGAGTTGTGCTTTTTGTTATGAACTTGTGGTGTATGTCATGTGTTATGAACTGGTGGTAGGGCCTCAAATTTTAGTGAAATGGTACTGTTTTTTATTTTTTGGGGTGGTAGGGCATGGGAACCTACCGCCAAGGTTCCTGACAGTACACTATAGGACCTTGCCACTGGAGGTTATGGCGGTAGGTGTCGTGGATCTAAGACTGACACTAGAATGGGGGGTAGGTATGAGGAGGCAAGAT